CGTCTGTGGCTGCCACTCCAGAGACCAGGAAACCCAAGCGCAGGGGCATTTGCCACACTCCAGGTCTTGGGGCTGCCGTGGGAACCTGACCCTGGATACCGGACTTCCGTGGGTCAAGGGGCCCATGCCACCTTCTCCAGCAGCACTGTGGCCACCACCCCAGACCCAAGCCCCGACCTCAGCCTCCATGTTTTCCTGACTGCACGTTTCACTTCCCCAAAATCCACCCCATTGGCTCAGTGTGGGAGTTCCACGGGAATACATCCCAACCCAGAGGGGTCTGGGGTACACAGAGAGAGGCGTGCCTGTGTGAGCCGGGCATCTCCGAAGCTTGGTCTCTGGATTTAGAAGGCAGCTTCCTCTTTGCTGAGAGGTAAGGGGCTCCCTCCTCTCCACACCCGGCATCCGTCCTGTAATTTCTCCGGGCAACCTAATGTGAAACCATTTTAAAGTTGTCTCCGGAGGACTGGGGCAGCTGTCCTGCCCTTGGTGCAGTCTTAAATACTCCCTCTAGCTTGTAAAAAGGATAAAATGTAAATGGCAGCCGCGCGCAGTGGCCCACACCTGTAATCCCAGCACTTTGGCAGGCCAAGGTGGGATCACAAGGTCAGGACATCAAGAGCATTCTGGCTAACACGGTAAAACCCCGTCTCTACTAAAAATATGAAAAATTAGACGGATGTGGTGGTGGGCCCCTGTAGTCCCAGCTACTCAGAAGGCTGAGGCAGGAGAATTGCTTGAACTTGAGAGGCCGAGGCTGCAGTGAGCTGAGATCGCATCACTGCACTCCAGCCTGGGAGACAGAGCAAGACTTTGCCTCAAAAAAAAAAAAATGTAAATGGCAAAGATTACTTTGTCCATCAGAAAATGTAAGAGAAAAAATTATGCCTGGAAAAGCCAAGTCCCCCCATCCCCCCATCAACCTCAACCCGGCAAGGCCAAGTCCCCCCATCCTCCATCTGAACCTCAGCACAAAGAGCATGTGGATGCTGAGGTGACACTGAGTTCTAAACCACATGCCTCTCCTTTCTGTGCGACAATTAAACACACAAAAGTCCCCTCCTTTTAGAGAACGGCATCTGTGTCTTGCAAATCAATGGCCAATCTGTTAAGGTTTAAGCTGAAATCTGGTGAAAACTTGCCCCAGAGAATCACAAATCATTAGTCCAATAATACGGCAAAAACCTCAGTCTCTCTGCAAGAAGAGAGGGGACCTGGCCGAGTGCACCGTGCCTTGCACAGCCGTACAAACTGCCGACATGAAGCTCTGCTGTCTTCACCAGGGATCTCCCAACCAACTGAAGTTGCAACGGAAAAGAAGAGAAGTCAGCGAAGAAAACATGATCCTTTTTTCTTTAACCTACTGCTTGTTGGAGGTAAACATTCCAGTCCCAAAGGCATTAGCAAACGCACTACAAGAAAATAAACTCAAATGCAAAGAAACACCCTGGCCTGTTTCTACAGGACGGTCACAAGCGCAGAGAGGAAATGACCCTATGTGAGCGGTCTCCTTCCCCAGAAAGCGCCAGGCTGAGCAGACAACGGCCCCTCTGTCCCTCCCTCCAGGGTGAGCCCACGAGCAGGAATGGTGCAGGATCACTGCCCTGCAGGTGCCCCGGCAAACCACAGCGGCCCCCTGCTCTCCGGGGGAACACCTCGGTGTCCGTTTGGAAAGCCCTTAAGTGACCGGATTACGTGGTTCTCCGGGGCTCTCGTCTCTCTCCTACCCTGGGGGAGGAGGTGGGCGGCTGTCCCCCTGCAAGTGTGGCTCAAGTCCCCAGGGCATCTGCAGGGAACCACACAGTGTCCACAAACACAACATGGGGGCCTCTGGGAGAAAACAGGGCTCCAGCACAGAGTGAGGAGGAGACACAGGCAACCACACACACACACAGGCTCCAGCACAGGGGGAGGAGGACACACACACACACACATACACAGAGGCTCCAGCACAAGGTGAGGAGGACACAGGGACACACACACACACACACGCTCCAGCACAAGGTGAGGAGGACATGGACACACACACACACACACACACGCTCCAGCACAAGGTGAGGAAGACACGGACACACACACACACACACACACACACAGAGGCTCCCACACAAGGTGAGGAGGACACACACAAACACACACATACACATGCTCCAGCACAAGGTGAGGAGGACACACACACACACACAGGCTCTAGCACAGGGTGAGGAGCACACACACACACACACACACACAGAGGCTCCAGCACCGTGAGGAGGACACACACACACACGCACACACACACATGTGCACACACACACAGAGGCTCCAGCACAGGGTGAGGAGGAGACACACACACACACACACACACACAGGCTCAAGCACAGGATGAGGAGGCACACACACACACACACACACACACAGAGCACACAACACACATACAACACACCATGCAACATACTACATGCCACACACACCACATATATAACACACTGTGCACCATGCACACACCACACAACACACAACACACACCACACAATGCAACATACTGCACACCACAGAGACAACACACACCATGCATTACAAACAACAGACATGCAAAACATACCACACCACACATACAATACACAGCATACATACACCACATAGCACACAAACATACAACACAAATACAACACACACCACACATACAACACACCCACACACAACACACATGGAACACATACCACACCACACATCACCACTCATCACTACCCACCACACACACCTCATACCACACACGCCACACACATAGCAGTGTTTCCTAGGGAGGGAGATGGCCACAGCATGGGGCATTTCATCACACATGGGAATCGGTCATGATACTGGGGAGACGTCACAGCACGGGACATTTCATCACACGTGGGAATCCGTCATGATACTGGGGAGACGTCACAGCACGGGGCGTTTCATCACACGTGGGAATCGGTCGTGATACTGGGGAGACGTCACAGCACGGGGCGTTTCATCACACGTGGGAATCGGTCGTGATACTGGGGAGACGTCACATCACGGGGAGTTTCATGTCACGTGGGAATCGGTCGTGATATTGGGGAGACGTCACATCACGGGGAGTTTCATGTCACGTGGGAATCGGTCGTGATACTGGGGAGACGTCACA